TTCAGACGTGTGCTCTTCCGATCTCCACTCACAAATTTGACTAATAGTTAATGACATTTTAATAAAAAACAAGTTATTTCCCTATACATATAATGTTAATGGCACGCTCTTCGTCGCCATATTGGTTAGCTATATATATTGACTCCGCCTCCATGTCAGATCCCAAAGAATTAATAATAAAATGGTTATTTCATTATTAATAAAGATTTAAAAAGTGAAAATAAAAATTGAGAATTATAAAATTAATAACAATAAGAAACAACATTTAAATATGCTTTAATATGCATATTTTTATTATTAACATAAGAATTTACATTATTATATGTTTGCAGAAGATAGTAATACTTACGCGTAATAATATTTTGGAAAAAATGATGTAACGTTTGTACGGAACATCCAGCCGGAAAATACGATAATATTTCCGGTAATGCTGTCTGTAATGAATCGAAATTATTAGAAATAATTATGATTTATTGCATATTAAAATACAGAATACAAATTTACAAAAAAAAATGTTAATTTGTAACTTCAATTTTCATAAGATATTAGAACAGTGTTATAGGTGTTACAATTAGGAAAACCGTGATAAATTAGATATGTATATTGTACAGTATTAAGATGTGGTGGATCGAATCCGACGACTAAAAACATTATCGCAGCACAAATAGGCTGAATAATTGCATTATTCGCACACAGTGTTCTTTCAAGTGTAATGGTCGTTGATGATAAGGAATTAAGTACTTCATATATTTCATTAACATCAAGAAATTCCTAATAAACAAATATAAAAAACGTAAACAACAGATTGCAAATAAAATCTTATTAAATTATATTACAGGATATAACATAGTATAAAAAATATAACATCAAAATAATTATATGTAAGTATATCAGCGTCAAGAGCCAGCTGTGATCGTTGAAGGCGCTCTCAAATTTAGTTTAGTAATATAAATTCTTTTTTCGAGTACTTGATAACTTTTTCTAAAGGAGGATGTTAAAAAGGGGTCAATTTTGGCCCCAAAAGTATAAGTAAAAACGATATAGTATTTTTTATAGATTTTGATGTTCTGAATACGATAGAATTATTAAAAAGTTCGTAGCGCTTGGGGAACATCTTGAAAATTGAGCATAAACACAAATTAATTAATAAATATTGCACAACATATATTTCTACTTATATTTATATTATACTACAATAAAAATAGGAATAATTTACTGCGTATGCGTCTTTTACTATTTCAGTCTTGAAATTAATATTAATATTCAAATGCTTATTCAAATGCTTCGCAAATATTATCTGATAAAATAAGAAACTTCCGTGATTATACGTACAGACTGTTCCCACAATAATTAGTTATTTACACCGATATGACTTGATATTCTACGACATTCAAATTTTGCTTTGTAACCGTTGTCTAACCGTGCGCGATAAAAACGATTCATAGTTATATATCCGCAGAATATTGCAAAAATAGATTTGCTTCATCGTTGTTCCTTGTTAAATGCAAAAATGCGATCAGAACGTGCTACGTGAAGAATTGCTGCGTGTGCACAGCATAAACGAGTACAGATGATGGTGTGCGTATAGAGGCGTTTGTAATTATTTCTCGAAAATGATATTTTGGAAAATAACTTTATCACACATGGTTGAATTCGTATTAAAATAACCTTTAATTGATCACAAAAAAATTTAAAAATTTAAAAAAAGAATGTGAAGTGGTGGAGGAAATACTTAAAAAAAAATTAAAACAAAAATTTTTTTGTTACTATCATAAAATACACTTCAAGTCATTCAACTTTGATCTACACTTTTTTCTATATCTCATAGTTTCGACGATATTTACGTTGGAAGAAAAAATCGATTTTTTTCAAGGAGTGACTTCATCCCTTCAAAACGGAATACAGCACCAACAAAAAATAGTTTCGTACTACGGATGAACTGCTCTACTTTTACACAAAGTTTCAGATTTTTCTGAATTTTCGGGTTCCCTAACTTCCCTTGTCAGTTTAGTTCGCTCTATCTATACACAAATAATATTTAAATATTCTAGGACATTCTATATTAAATTGCTACACACGCTGTTTACCGTTTTGTGTATTATATGTTTTTTAAATTGCAATTGCTCTTTAGAAAAATTTTTATCTTCGATCGTGGAATTGCGCATCTCGTAATTTTTGCACATTTTAACGACAATATATGACGCAACTCTCACACAACTTGCCGACCGCGACCAGCAACAATACTCACTCAAATGACTGCGTGGTAGTGGCTGAATTCGTCTATCCGGCAATCCGGCACCATGAAAAATTACAGCGACTGTTTAGAGTTTAGAACATTTGGAACAAGAAATCGGGTCCTTGACGAATGACTCTTTGCGAAAGAACAAAGTTTTATTTATTAATAGCGTTTAATAAAGTCTGAGCAGAGTTGATGAGCAAAGTTCGGGCGGTTATACAATAAGATTATTAAATAAATTATACTTCAAATAAATAAACAATAATTAAATAAATAAATAAAAATAAATTATACAAAATAAATTATACTTTATTTTTCATTAATGCGACAACTATTCTAATATTTTATACTTCTCGTTCTTATTTCATCAGATATAATATGCGCAGATTGTGATGCCTATAGTTTTTGAATAAATATCGAAAATTTTACCGAAAAAAGAAAATAATCGGTGGATGCTTAACTTTAATAGCTGAATTCTCTTTATTCTTGTTACTTAAGATTTATAGAATAACAAAATGCTCGATGAAGATTTTCACGAAAGAAAAGCATGGAAATATAAGATAAAATTATTATTCTCTCTTATGATCTTCACTTTCTAACTCGATCGTTATCATTTTATCTTTCCCTTCCTTTCTATTATCTAATCTTCTTACCTTATACATATATCTTTATCTTCGCACCTATTTCTTTCATTATTCCCAACATTGTCTCCTTCATCTCCCTCCCTTTTCTTCTCAATTGTAGTAAATAATCATATTTTTTTCTTTTATCCTCTCTTTCCCTTTTAACCAAATTTTTTCCATTCATTCCTATCTTTTTTCTGTATTTTATCCATCTCTTATATAGACTCTAACATTTCCTTTTTCTTTCCTCTTCTTTCTAACTTTCCTATCTTTTCTTCTAATCTTACTATTTTTTTTCACTTTTTCCTTTCTGCTTTATTTTCTAATTTTTCTTTCCAATTCGTTTCAGCTTTTCTGTCTCTCTTTTTCTTCTATTCTCTGCTTTTTATTGTTTCCTTCAATTTTTCTGTTTTATATTTCTCTTCAATTTTCTAATTCCGTGCATTATCTTATCATTTTCTTTATTATCATCCCTAATTCCTCTCTCTTCTTCGTAGCTAGATCGACACCTTATTGTTTTACAACTCCTCTGAAATGCCATTGATTCTTGCTTTTTTTTCTCTTCTAGTATTTCATTTCCTTCTTTCTTCCATAATTCGTCTATCTTTCTTGTACTTTCCACTTTTTAATTAAGATTAAATAAAATAATGAAAAGATATTTAAAAGCAAATATTAAAAACGACCAAAAAATATCCAAAAAATTTTATAAACAATTTAAAGATGTTCACGATTAATCATCATATGAATAAGGTTGTAAGACGATTAGCAATGAAACATAAGTATCTGTCGCCTATTAGTCATCTTTTCGTCAACTATACTCTCTCACTAAAAGATACATATCTTTGTAACAATTTATTTATCTTTTAGACGACTTGTTGTCTGGGAGGTGGTTATTAACATATAGTAGTTATATCAATGTTTATTAGGAGTTAGATTTTTCCAAAATATCTGTCAAAATAATATGTCATTTAATTACTGTTATCAAGTATACATAATGTACCTAATTTTTTAATTCCTGATTAGTGATATTACGATTTTACATGATAATATGTGTAAAATTAGCTATTAAATCATATTTATGTACAGTGCGTTCCGATATTCACTGCCAGTGCTGAAAATCTATAGTGCACGTAATGTATATTATAAATTTTCAGTACTTGCAGTGAATATCGGAACACAGCCGTTGTTAAAGAGCTTATACAAACACATGACTACCTATTTCAAAAAGATACGAAATTTTAATGTTGTAAAAATTTGGGAGCTATTTTTTCCTTACATGTGGAAGTTATTTTATTATCTGTTTAAAATGTTTAAATATAAAAATCATATATTATACAAAAATGTTTAATTGCAAATATTGTAATTAAATTGAATTGCTTTAAGATACTCCACACATACTCGTTTTATTAGAAAAAATGTTTATTTAGAGGACAATTACATGACCATTTTCCAACAAGACAGATGACATAGCATAACATTGTGTCCAACACAAAATATTAATATCCTACTGTGACAGTGTTACATTACTCGATATTGTAAAAAACTAAGTATTATACGAGCCACGATATACAGCCAGACTAATTCTTACACTTAAGTATCTTACGCAGTGGAACACAGTGTAATGTCACCGTGTTCTAGCTGGAAAACAGCCATTTTATGTACAATTAAGGAGAATAAAGATAAATTAAAGAAATAATTATATTTCTAAAAGTAAAATGCTATGTACACAATTTTAAGTAAAGCAGTATAAACTAAGATTGATGAAAGACGAAATAGTTTTATTAATCCTTGAAAGTGTCTCTACGCAGACTTACGGTTATAATTAATTAATACTCATGTAAGATACAAAATCACATTGACAAATATGATATTAAATATCACTCGATAAATAAAGTATAATTGTATCTTTTTTTCTTAGCCGACTATACATTTTATATCATTAGAAGCAAAGGCTGACTACTTTTCTTATAACGAAGTTGCGCGTAAATATATACGCGTATTACACGAATATACATCTAAATCGTATTATAGAATTATGGAAAATTTATATTGAGAGAGCATGGATTAGCCCCAATCTACAATAAACGTCGTAAGTTTAAAACCATTAGAAATTGATTGAATACAGACAAATGTTCTCATGTGGGGAAAATAATCTACTATGATTGAACTATTTCATATGACTTAACGCTTACTATATTATTGTAGATCAGGAGTTGAAGGTATGTAGAATGAAAAGTTTCGGTGGGCACGAAATACATACACAACGATTATGATAAATGACGTCGAATTAAGTGGTCATATAAATGTTTCAGAGCCAAACGCGCCCGTCCTTTGTGTCTGAGTCCTGGCATGAGAAGAACCGTAAGCACTAAAAGATAAATTAAATAAATCACTAAAAATAGTAAAAATATAACCAGATACAAAAGATAATGCTATAAATTTGTTACCTATGGTGTAAAGCAGAAGCAAATTATTGATCGTGCTACCGAGCCATGCGAAGAGAATGAGAAAGAGGATTGTTGCGCTGTAATACTGCAATAAGAATAAGTGTTATACGTAATTTATTACTTTAAAAATTTGGAAATAAAATATGTATCCCAATATAATATATATACTCAAAAAATACTGGCATATATTCAGTAAAATAAGATAATCTCTTGTGAAAACAAACATTTATATATCTTTTATGCAAAAAAATTTCTTTTAATAAAATAACACAATAAGAACTAGCAATGGGAATCGGCGGTTAGTGATACGCAATTTGATAATATAAAAGATTAAATCTTCCAAATAATCAGACGTTTTAGCTGACATTTCCAACCATCATCAGTGACAAATAAGTGGTCTCACGCTTAATTCTCATATGTGCATCCTGCTGCAATCGGTTGGTGAGAGACCTGTCCAGATTCCTCAACCTTTTTAACGTTTGGACATTGGTGAATCTGGACAGGTCTCTCACCAACCGATTGCAGCAGGATGCACATATGAGAATTAAGCATGAGACCACTTATTTGTCACTGATGATGGCTGGAAATGTCAGCCCAAACGTTTGATTATTTAGAAGATTAAACCTTTTATATTACCAAATTGCATATCACTAACCACGCCGATTCCCATTGTCAGTTTTTATTCTGTTATCTTAATATCTGGAATCTTATAGGAATTTATTTCTTTTAATAAGTAGGATAGTTTTTACAAGAAATTCGCTTACAATATTAGGACGATCGTGTCGAATTTTCGAGATAGACGTCCATGCACATTGCATTTGCAATATGGTGGAAGAGAGATTTTGACAAATCTCAATCAATTTCTTCTCCTTCTGCCCTGTCCAACTCTGTGCGTTGCATAAAACTGAAGTCAAAATCGGCACAAGATAATCAACCAGAGCAAATACCAACAGACAAACAGATATCATCGTCAATAGAGCTGGTTCTAGAATCCATATTGTGCTACAACAAAAATAAAATATTTTACATATATGTTTATTTTCTAACGAATTTATGTCCCACAGGATATCCAAAAACCATAAAATCTTTAAATTCTAACTTCTTTTTAATCGATTCAGAATTAATCTTTATTAAACAAATATATTAAGAGTGATCAATTTATCTTGTTAACATTTAACAGTATATATCTTAATAATTTATATAAGGACCAAATATTACAATTTTAAAACATTTAAATGTAAGGCTTATTTAATTGTAAGTCTATTAAAGCCTACTTAAAAAATTAACCACAAGTCACATAATTTTGTCGTTGATTTTCTTAAGGCTCCTGTTCATTTACCTTTTCATTATTATCTCAGATCATAATGTCAGAAACAAGAAAATGCATTAAAAATGCATTAAAAATTTTTGCAAAATATATTAAATATGGAAATATGTAGAAAATCTGTTTCAATAAAACAACACAATTGATAGAACCAAACTTATAAAATACATAGAAAATTTTTTATTTGTTAATTGAATAATAAATAACTATATATCTGAAAATAAATTATGCATAGTGAAATAAGCTACGTTCATATGATAAATTAATGATGTATGTATAGAAATAAATATGATTTAATTCTTTGAAAACTATCTTTAACTCAATTTAAAAGATAGTTTTCATTTTATAAGTTCATTCTATTGTAAATGTTGTTTTATTAAAAAAATCTTTACTTTAAATATATTTTGCAAGAATTTTTTATTGCATATTTTTTTTCGTTTTTGATGTTATAACCTAAAATAGTAATGAAAAGGAGTCATAATTTAAATCATTAAAAATCTGTAAATATCCTGAAAATTTGTCTAGGAAAAATTCCAAATTGAAGAAGTAATTGACAGTAGAAAAACATTCAATGATTGGAGAGCACTGCATATACAGAAATGTGTATGTACATATGAGTATATGTACAGGTGTATAACATATATATGTCATAAAATTATTTATAACATATATGTTATATTATAATTGTTTTTATAAAATTGATTTCATTTACCTGAATATCACATTTACAAATCCAATAATCAGCACAGGATGCCATCTGCATTCCCACAAAAGAATGGAATTCAAAGGCAAGATTATCTCCCGCCAGCACTCCATCCTTCGTTTCAATTGCTTCATGTGTTTTTCCTAGGATAATATCACATTATCAGCCAACGAAATCGAGTCTCGCTCTGTCATCGATTTTTTCTACCAAGCTACAGAAGCGCATGTCGCTCGATAAGGATGAGTTTCTTATCTGTCAGCTGGTTCCATGTCACAATTCAACGAACACGAGTGGCATCGAGTCGCACACACTTACCTTCTCGACCGTCCCGTCGTCCGTCATCGCGCGAAGATTCGTGATAAAAGCAGCGTTTTTAATTCGCTTCACAGCAGCGGAGAGGGAAGATGTACGACACGCGTAGGAGTCAATAGTAACAAAAGAGTCGTTCCACTGGGCGATTCCGTGTCACGTAGTCCCGTATTTATCCACCACGTACCGTCATCTCGAGCTACGGTCTGGAATCTTGTCGAAAAATAGGTGGAATCAGTTTGCACGAGCAAACGCCGACAAACCGCTCGCGCTTTCGAGTTGAAAAAAAAACACGCACACAAATCAAGGTGGAGGACAGCCGTGAGGCGCCGTGCGCGGCGTTGGGTTGGTGGCGATGGACTCGATATGTATGGGTGGCGGTGGCGGTATAATGCGGGGAGAGAGTGGCGAGAGAGGAGCGAGGGGGAGGGAAGGAAGAATCGACTTTTGGCTTCGAGAGTACGGTCGAGCCTGGCTGCTGGCATGCGATTGGCTGTCAGTTCAAAATGTTGGTTATTGCGGGCGATGCCGTGCTGATGTTGTGACGTTAAGCGTTTCCCTACGCCGTGCGCCGGGAAGCTGGAAAAATCACGTAGCCTACGCGCGAGGCCTGGCCCCGAGATTGCGCCTCGAGTTTTCCGGTGATTATGGCCGCCGCCGCCGTGAGCTCCGTGAGTATCCTGTCACTCGGCCGTCCGTGGGACGAAAATGTGCGTCCGTTCGTCGCGGCGTCCCGCCGTCGCCGCCGCCACCACCACCGCCGCCGCCGTAAAATGCAACAACGCCTTCTTGTTTACGTTCCGCGTGTTTTTAACGCGTGCTCCCCTCCCCCCTCCCTCATCTCCGTCGCGAAATCCTTGGATCGCACGTAAAATCGGATCATGCGTTTTTTTTTTTGCAGAATGTGGAAAATCTGTCGCCGCAAATCATCCGCCGGGTAGCCAAGGAGATGGCAGAGCTGTCCGTGCAAACACCCGAGGGTATCCGTGTCATTTTGAACGAGGCCGATGTCACCGATATACAAGCCGTTATCGAGGGTCCAGGTGAGACCGATTGTCCTTCGCTTGACCGCGCTTGCTCTCTCTCTCTCTTTCTCTCTTTGGCCTCGTGTTGACGAAACCTAATATCTCTGAGCAAAAGAGTATCCTTTTATTGACCATACATCTAACGTTATCTAACCTAACCTGGTCGTCATCCTAACCCTAACATCTCTCGCTTCAGTTCGTATGTCCCTTGTCTGTGTTGGAGTAGTGTACGTACGTGATGTATACGTACACATCTCTCTGCATACAAGTTGCCTATACTCCGAGCTTCGATTGATGTTGAAATAATGAAAAATTGATATTTTTTTCCAATAGCGGGGACTCCATATGCCGGTGGCTTCTTTAGAGTAAAATTAGTTCTTGGAAAGGACTTTCCACAGGGACCGCCGAAGGCTTACTTCCTTACAAAAATTTTTCATCCTAACGTAGCAAAGAATGGCGAAATATGCGTAAACACCTTGAAGAAGGACTGGAAACCGGATCTTGGGATACAGCATATATTATTGGCAAGTCATTGAAATACAGTGTTTATTATAAACGTTTGCTTATCCTTATGTTTTTCTCTTTCCATTGTTTAGACCGTAAAATGTCTACTGATAGTGCCAAATCCGGAATCTGCTTTAAACGAGGAAGCTGGCAAATTGCTTTTAGAAAGTCACGACGAATATTCAGAACGAGCGAAAATGATGACCGAGATACACGCACAGGTAACGTCTTATCTCGACGCAAAAGAATCGAGATTTTCTCAAGTTTTCTCATTATTACAATAATTTTTACGAATGATATTTCTTTAGGGAGGTGGAAAAGGCAGCAAGGCTGGTCTAGAAAGTTGCGCCTCTTCGGACACTGGAGGACCTCTTCCAAAAAAGCACGCAAGTGATAAAAAACTAACAGCGGAAAAGAAAAAAATGTTAAAAGATAAGAAGAGGACACTAAAGAGATTATAAGGAAAATCAATATTATTTATCTGTCTTTTTGTAATTTAAAATGGTATGATAATGTTGCCTCATATTGTATACAATTATTATTGCATAGTAAAATTTTATTATCTAAACTTGACTGATCTTATTATTAAATATGTAGAGAATTTAATATGTCTAGTTATGTAAAAAGAATTAAAAAAAAAGAATAGACAAAATTGATCGTCCATCTTAGATGGAAGATTAGTACAATTCTGTAGTGAGCTGTACAATTATAGGCTGAATTAGAAATCCTGCTATATACTACCTATTAGGAAATATTTTTACATATGTACAAAATGATACGATGTGATCACTTAAAATAAAGAAAATGTCTTCTATGTGTAAAATATCTTTTGTCGATTTTACTTAATAAATGTTACGTTTCATTCAATAATTACATTTTAGCTACTATATATATATATTTTTTATAATTTTTTATGAAGCATATTTATGCATGTCTTCAGATATTTTTTTTTTAAAGATAAAATATAGGGTGAAATAATATAGGATAAAAGGACTAAAATTCATAATATTAGGAATTTTTCCTCTCCAATGGATAATAAAAGTTTTCTTTCAAGAATAACTTTTTTTATTAAGAGACTCTGGCGTTTTTCTTCAGTCTTGCGCCGCTTGATTGCTATTTGTTACTGCATGAATAAAAATGTGTACATGTTTTTACATATTCATCAATTTGTGCACTAAATATCGTCAATATCTAATTAGTTGACAGTACACGCATCACAGCCTTAATCTATTCGCTATGCACTATGCATAGTAATATATAATGCTTATATTTATGCTAAAGAAATAATCCACCAGACACATAAATTACAAAGATTATTATATATCACCATTTATATACTCTAAGATTCCTAAGCAAATTATCTTAAAGAAGGATATAAATGATTTTCTTGATATAGCATTTGGAATAATCAGATTGTGAGGGCTAGAAGCACATTTCGTACTTTGATAAACAACAACTTTTCGAGATGTATCTCATTGTATTTTTCATCTGATGAGCACACACGCACGATAGTACATACAAATTCATACAGTCTTTACAATCATAAGTAATTTTTTTTTAATTTTCTTGTATTACATTGTGTCATAAAAAAAATCTATGAATTTCTACGAATATTCGCAAAGATTTGTAAAATTTGCTGTACCAATTTCGGAAAGAATCGTCAAAAATAAAAACTAAATTAATTTTTGTATATTTTACTAAATTTTAATAGGATTGTATTTATAACTGTATTTATAACTTCATGAAAGATAGAGGCAACAATATTACATGTATTGTGTTAGTCAGATTGAACAAAAATCTGAATATAGCAATTTTATGATGTTACTTGACTTCCTTCACATAAGCTTCCAATTCTGCATCTAACTCTTCGGCCGTAGGTGTCTTTGTCACTTGTCGAGTACCTCCTCTACCTCCTCCACGCCGACCACTTCCACGACCTTAAATTCCATGAAATTGCAATGTTTCATTGGTATTAACAAAAAATCGTTAAATATATTGTAAATAACTACACGTAGAACAAAATATATAACTGTGTGAGATACTATCAATTTTACTTGGTTAATTTACATAACTTATCAGAAATATATATTGATTTGCATTAATTACCTCTAATAGATCCTGTGCCACGATTTCCTCTAAAACGTGTCTGAGGTCTTTGTGTATAATTAACACTGCTAAGTCTTGGGCCACCACGGATAGAAGCGATTGGTAATTCAGAAGTAGCTACTTGTATGTTCATTTCACGACCTGTTGATAATAATTATATATTAGAATGACACATGCAAAATATTTGTATATGCAAATTGTGTAATTCACAATAATTTTTATTTGGCATAAACTTTCTAAAAACTGAACTAATAAATAATACTAATTATTAAATATAAATAAAATTCTATAATTGAAAAAGTACATTCAAATAGACACAATTGTGCAAATTTAAATACCATCTAACGGTACTCCGTGATACTGCTTCATTGCTTTGATAGCATCTGCTCGTCTTTCAAATATAACATCAGCAGAACCTAGAGATCGGCCTGATCTGTCATAATGTACTGCTGCTGATTTTAAAGGTCCAAATTCACTGAATAATTCCTAAAAAACATTATTACAGTCAGTTCTCTATGTAGAACTTTTCTATATAGAAAAGTGCTAAATCAAATTTCATTTAACACATTGAAGGTTATCAACAGTATTTATCTTCTTTTATTTCATATGTTGATATATTCAGTGGATTACATATATGTATTTAAGGATGTTTAGTACCTACAATAGTAGCAAAAAGTTAAAGGACTGATTTTGACGAATATGCTCTTCTCATATAGTTTGAGTAATAAGGATTGTGCAGAATGTTATCATTTATTCAGAACTAGAGTGCAGAAATGCTTCTGTTGCTTTTTCCT